CATTCCAATTTTCGCACAAGCATAGAGAAAGCATCATGAGTAGCATGAAACCAGTCTGACCTAAATTTAAGAGTTAAAATATCAAGAAGAGTTAGGTGAAGATTTGTGGTGTGAACTTTGATTTCAAACTAAAAGTTTGTGAAAGGAGTTCGTGAATTGGTCTCACTAAAAACGGAAGAATTTTTGGAGCGAAGACTATGGGATTGTACGCAAAAGTCCTCGGCTCACTGAACTCGAGCTTAGCACTCGTCGACAAAAAGAGAAACCAAATCTGACAAAAAAACCTCACCAATATAATAAACCAAGAGAAAATGTGATCGGCTTCAAACTAACTCACTTCTCATACCTAATTTTGCTACCTTAATGAATTTATTATTAGCCATCGTATGCAAAGGCGAAGAAATTGATAGTCAAGCAAGTCAGTCAATTCGTTTCCTTAAGTCAATTAATCATATAGTATAATTACTAACTTTTGAGTTATTAATTTTGGATGTTCCATGATTTGGCTTATATGTGACTTAAGTAAAACATTTCAAAATTGCAGTCAGTAATTAGAAGACCAGATTCAGGCAAATCATCTCTGAATCTCTTAGTTAGGAGATTTTTCTTAAACTATAAAGGGGGATATCGTACGATAAATAAACTAATAAATTTGGATAAAATAATCGACTGAAGGAGATAGGTAACATCTAGAGAAGTAAGTTAAAGCGAATGGTGGATTGTGCCAGAAAATGTGTAAACCTCATTGGACATTATTGAGAAGCAAGTAGGCTTACGCTCTGCCACCTTTTTCTCTTGGTTTGCATAGTGATGCAGTTTTTTATATAGTTTCGTTTCTCGCTCTGATGTCTGCCGCAGCGACAAGGATGATGATGAGCATGAATTTGTCGGGGTCACAGAATGATAAACCAAGTCTTATTGTAACTGCCTTTCTGATGATAAAAAAGCGATAAATATCTGTAAAGCCTTACTATTCTGGTGAGCTTTGATCACCAGAATAGAACAAGTTCTATTCCACATATAGAGGAATAAGATAGTATGGTATCAGCATTTATGTAATTTCGTCATAAGTAAGCACTTATTATTATACTCTTCTCCTTATACCTGATTCATAGGAGCTCCAGAACCAACTTTCTGTGTGGAAACCTGTTGTTGTGGCAACCGCTTGGCACCACCATAAAAGTAGTAAATGTGGTCTTCATCATCAGCGAACCGTGGCATTGAGATGCGCCCCGACCGAGAGGCGACATAACAGCCGCCACGTCCGTAGGCCTGTGAAGCGAAGAAAGAAGAAAATTCGGAATCTGCACCGCCCTCTTCGTCGATACAACTAAGACGTGCGGACCGATCATAAGCAATGCTATCAACCCCATCCACTTCATCTTCTGAGGAGCCTCCGCCCGTTGACCGACGTTTACCCCAATGCTGCGGTCTATCGCGCTGTTGGACCGGCCGTCTCGACAGCCCACCAGAACTAGATGCCGAGTTTCGCACATTTGGCACCGCCAGGTCTCTCTGTCTGTCCGTCTGCAAGATAGGAGGTGCCGGGCGATGGCCAACATGGCGTTGAATAGAAGAGGGTCTACCTCTGCTACGATGTATTGTCCCTGGCGGACCAGATCTTTGATTCTCTCGAGAAATGTGCACGGGCCCACGGCTTGCCAAGGATTCCCCTCTATAATACAGATAATCTTCCTCTTCCTCAGCGTCTTCGGCATGTCCAGCCTGTTCGTCATAGAAATCTTCATCTCCAAGAGTGTCATTGCGCCTGGAGTAGTTGCGGTCCATTGCTAAGCGTTTTTCGCCTGAAGGCCAGTCATTCCAAGAGCCGTCAGGACTCAACTCCTCACCATTGTCATGGTTACTTAATCCAGACAGCGAAATCGCCCGACCGTCGGCATCTTGTTCGCTAGGTGAAGTGTAACCAGTGATTTGAGGGTGGCGTTTGAGCTATCAGGGGTGGTTTAAAAATAATGCGACATGACAGTATACTTTAGTTATGTAAGGAGAAATTATCTGGCCTTATGCAAACATGGATTATTAAACTAAACGTGTCAGAGAATTGATAATAGTCGTTTATAAAGCAACTTACAAACCAAAACACTAATTTGTCCTTATTATTAATAATTCAATAAATAGGTAAAAACCAGGCAACAAAGTTATTGCCGAAAATATATAATGGATGAATATTTCATTGTACTAACCAATGTCATCATTTTCATTAACATATTGCAAATCAGAATACTAATATAACTTATACTAATGCAATATTCGAAATTAGCTTGAGAGACTTTGGTCATCAAATGGTTCCGAATTCAATCTAAGTAATTTGGGATATGATCTAAGGGGCCTTCTCATTAAATGCTATGTAATGCGCTTTTCAAATAAACCCGCCATATTTGGAATAGTCTGAAAATCTAATTGTCAAGTTCTAGGTGAATAGCTTTAAATAAAGAGTTCAAAGTTTATTACTAAAAAACAAATCTGTAAGAGAAATACAAAATTGTCACATTTATCAGTGGCTTCTTACTCGTTTTGGTACGAAACTGGCAGAGTTTTCACAATTCTCTGTGTCATTAGCAGCCACAGCACTGAGTCGACTAGCGTTAGTGGGACGACCACGGCCAGCCAAGGACCTAAACAGGAGACCGAGATCAGATGTGTAATGGCAAGAACAGAAGAATAGGCGTGGATAATTTAGAGAGCTAAATGAAATGTAAAATTCTCAAAATATATATTTTGAGACCTAAGTGAATAAAAATAAAAACGAACATTGACGAATAACAAATATAGTAGATCGAAAAAGGTGTTCTAGTCAAAGCTTTAGACTGTTATCAGTCCTCGGTGAATGTGAGCTAAGTTTCTGTAGAAAACATTCAGCGTACAAATCTAAAATATGATTTATTGGATCAGGCTTCTCATAATCTTTTCCTACTCTTGTGGAGCCCAGCACATAGTAAGCAAGAACGATAGAATAATGATTTTAGTAATGCAGACTTTCGAACAATGATGCTGCCTGGTACCGAAACCAAGTAGAACCTTGTTTTTTTCAATCATACGCATGTTAAAAAGCCTCAGGCCTAAAAGCCAAAAATAAAGGCTAGAAAAAAGGAATAATTAAGGAAGATGAAGCCATAAGTTCTAAATAGTCAAATCACCAGCATTAGATGTTAATAAATATGATTCATTAAAATATTTTAATTTCATAAGGTGTTATTCTTGCAGTGATAATAAAATTTATCAAAAAACCACGTAAGTGTGAAGATGTAGGTAAAATAAAACGGTATATATAAGAAGTACGCTTAAGCCTGTGTGCATACGCAGCTTAAAGAGACGCCTAGGTTTGCAATAATTATGTTCAAAGTTGAATGTTAGAAG